ACCTTTTGGTCATGTCCGACACTTCACTGACAGAATCGCGTAGGAGATTCTACGACACAGACGAGGAGGGCATACCGATCGAGCCGGTATTCATAGCGGACTTCATCCGAAAGGAACTAGACTTTTTCGCGGATTTCAAACATCAAGTGGAAAAGGAGATCAGAGAAGCCCAGATCCAGGAAGAGGGTGAAAGGCATCACAGTATATCCGACGAAATGGAAAACAAGATTGGTGGCTTGCAGAAGGAGCTACAAGTAAAGTATGAGCATGTCCACCAGCAACTAAGAGAGCAAGATGAGAATATCAAGGTTCTATCGGAAAAAATCGAGTCCATATCCTCCTTGATGACAAAGATACATGAGCTGCTTCTAAAAAATGGAGAGAAAGAAGAACGCCCTTCTGATAAAAGCTGCGATGAAGCAGTGGGCAGCATCATCAGTGAAGGAGGCTCATCGAAGGATGAAAACGAGAGAACAAGAATCAAGGCGAAAACAGTATCCGATGTCCCCGAAGAGGACATGCTAGATTTGGATTACGACTACGAATCTATTTCTGACCAGAGCGATTTGAAAACAGACACCACTGAACCACCGGAATCACTCGAAAAGGAAAAGGCTAACCCAAATCAATATCCAGGAGAGCAAGAGCGACGCAAATTGGAAGACCGTATAGAGGACATCAACGAATTTCTGAGAGATAAAAGACATGTTCCAGAACGTCGAATACGAAAGTTTGATAATATGCGATTTGAAGAACGATATTTAATATGCTCGTTTTGCTTTGCAAAAGGCCCAACACTACTCGGATAGCTGTCCAAAATTTTCGAGTACGGAAATGAGGAAAATGAGAGCACGATGTTGGTCATGCCTGGATAGCCGCCATGATACGACCAATTGCTGGAATGAGAGCAAAAAATGTTACTATTGTGGATCGAAGAAACACAATAAAGCATTATGCACGCTTCCAGAAGAGATCCACGACTACTATAAAGAGCTTGAAGAACTGCATCGTGAGCTTGAATTATTCGAGGATTTTTACGGACCCTCCACAACATCATCAAAGTCTTCAGATAGGGGGGAGTGTCACAGAGGTGACTAGAAAGATTCGGCGAGCATTGTTTGATTTTGCTTTATAAGGACGTTATTATTGTTTGTTTTATTTAGCAAATTAATGTCGATATAAAGGTTATCGGATTGAAAAGGAAGCATGAACAGAAACCTGCAAGAACATGTTCAAGGTCGAGATAAAGAAAGGCAATCTTATCAAGCAGAAGCTCCAGCACTGATACGATAAGATAACAGTTGATAAGATTACACTTCATATATAAGGCTTCCTTTAGTAAGAATAAACACTTTTTATCGGCTATATCCTCTTCGGACCGGACATGGAGCCCCAATGACCTATATCCTATATTCCTGTGCGAAAACCTGTGTTTTAGAAGCATACCAAGGGGAGTTCTCTGAAACGAACTGGAAGTGGTATGGCGTCGGAGGAGAAAAGGGGGGGGGGGGTTATCGTTGTTCGGATGGGGTTGCACAATGATTACAATGGGAATAGCAGGCCTAGGGATAGAATGAAAGACTTGCTGGAAAATAGAAACCTTCGCATTCCGTCAGTGCTGCTTTGTTCACAATGGCCTTGCATGAAGATTGTTATGGCAGCTCAAAGCGTAAGGACTTGTAAGTGACCTCCCAATGATCACAACGGGATCACAACGGAGAGATCCCTTGGAAAGAGTTTTTTTTTTTGAAAGCGCTTGAATGCAAATAGCAAGCGCCAAGGAACTGCGATCCCAACCTAGTGCTCCACAGTCCTGCGTTCCCCTTTCCGAAAGCTCCACTCTCAAAGAAGTCATGGGTGTTCCAGTAGTACTTTACTTTAACACGTTGAACGCCGCGGCGTTTTTGCGGCGACTCCCGTTTTGACTTCCTGCGTCTCCGCGCGCGTGTATTGAATGCAATACACGAACGCGCGAAACGGGAGTCTTTGTGCCGCATACCCCTTTACACGCTCATTCTGGTCACTTTTGCGCTCATTTCTACATTGTTCAGTATGAATAATGACTTCTTTTTGCTGCATAGATGGATCTGGACAACGTAGAAGATTTAAAAGTCAGTTTTTACGACATAAGTATTGGTTGGCCCACAAGTAATTGAGTTTCTTTGGTCACACAATTTTTTATATGAAAAACGACAATTGTTCCCAATATGTTCTACAATGTTTGATAGATAATTTCCTGCTCTATATGATAGTGGGGTTGCTCCCTACTATTTCATGGTTTCCGTTGATTTTCATTAAATGGAAAATTCTGGTCGCGTGGGGGGCCATCTTGCTTGCGGAACCCATCCACTAGGTCTTGAACTTCTTCACTCGAACGGAGGTGATGCTTGATAATGACAAGGAAGTATTCTAAGACCTTTAACGATTCCTCTACCCTTGGCATGATTCTCAGTTAACAAGGTGATTCCGTAAGCTTTCAGTCTGACAGAATAGGGCATTAGGTTCGATGCTTGTCTGTGGGGTCGAAACTGAAATCTTCGAATCACTTGAAGTTTTACTAATATTCCTACGAGACGTAGCCTTTTAGCCATATACTTACCACTGGACCCATGCGGTTTTAGCTTTTTAATTAGGGGCATAAATGAGAGGCTGTCGAAAATGCTCAATTTCGTTAACCTGGCACCATTTTTATCACTGAAATACTAATGGAAAAAGAAACTTGAAGCAAACTAGGAATACTATTCTGTGGGGCAAGGAGCTCTCTGCCAAGTGGTATAAAACCCAGTGGAGAAACTCTTCTTCTTCAGCGCGATATTTTGAGTGAGAAAAAAAACGCCATTACTTATGGGGCGACCCAATATTATTATCATAACGACTTGAACACTATCAAATGTATTGTAAATTAACATTTGTAATTATCACTAGAAGTCTTACTACCATTGCAGTGATGCGGAGCAATCATAAGAAGTGCAATTACTTGATGTTATTTTGTAATGTTAATGAATTACCCCAATGAGCAGCTTATTTCACGCCATCAAGAACTAAGCATAAGTAAAGCTCACTGAACATATACTCGGTGAGAATGGTTCAAGTCGCACTATTATCCACGAAAAAACCGACCCACAAAACGTGAATTGTGGGCAATACACAAACGCGAGAAACGGGAGTATGCGCGTGTATTGATATCAATTCACGCGGCGTTCAACGTGTTAATGGTACGTTCCCCGTCTGTTTGCTTCTAACTGGCTCCGGATCTTGAAATAGCTCGCTCCAATACCGGCACAAAGCGCGCTCTAGCCCTAATTGCACCTTTGAATGGCCGCGAACAATTGATATTCAAGTGTTGGCACATGGATTTTTTCGTTTTTCTTTGTTTTCGTGCAGGCACACATCGTTGTTGGGGAATCCCCAATAGGGGGGTCGTATTTGGTCGCCAGGAGGGGGTCGTATTTGGGCTGAGAAAAATTTATTTTGATAGTTGATTTTTCTCGCTTCACGGACGTTGTAAAAAGGGGGGGGGTCGTACTTGGTCATTGTTGGGAGGGGGTCGTATTTACGTTTTGGCGTTGTAGGAGTGGTGGTTGACTTTTGGTGATTTTCCTGTTTCATGCGTACTATATGCCCCCCCTCCCCCCCCCCCCCGCTCGACGGCTCGATTCGATGAGGAGGAACAGAGGGCCGGAGGAGGGGGGGGGGTCGTACACCAACCCTTCAAGAAAAAAAAGGGGGGGGGTCGTACAGACACGACTAAAATCCCCAACCAATAATGTGCCTTGTTTTCGTGTCTTCTTATGGTTCATTTATGGTTTATTATTTTTGTTTATTTATTTATGATTCATTATAGCTCATTTTCTTCGCGTTTCTCACATTTATCCTTGTTTACCGTCGCCTCTTTTATTTGTCGTTTATTTTCGCAGATCTTCCATTTTTCGGTGTTTGTTAGTCCGCTGCTAATCTGGTCCGCTGCTACCAGATTAGCAGCGGACAAGGGGTGGGGGGTGGTCGTATCGGGACTCTTTTTAGAGGGGCTCGCATTGAGCGGAAAATGATCACAACGCGATGGCGTGCCCTGGCTGAACCGATTTCCATGCAATCCTTTGGCGCCAATCTAGAAATCCATGGAGCACTGAGCCTTTGGAAGGTCGGGGTTTTTGTTATCGGCGCCATTTCGCGTCAAGTAGCCCCGATTTGACAATCTTTCTCATCAAAATCGGTGAAAACTTGCATGTACGGTTCATTGATACCCCGATCACGGAAATGACGATGACAATTTAGCGCTCTGCTAAAGTTGAGCTCGGAAGGAATGATTCCCTGCCATTGCAGATGACAGCAGTGCCCTTCGTTGGCACGAGAGTGAGTGTTATATTCGTGATCAGGATGTCAAATAATCCCCCATTAAATTTCATCAATTTGGGTGAGACAGGTGATGGCGCCATTTTTCAAACGTTTAGACTTGCGGTGAAACACTTCGCGCTACATTGCAACAACGTTCCAATGCTCTGAACGGGTATCGATCCGCGCTGACCGCCAGTTTTGGGGAAACAAAGGAGAATAGGAGAGTACCAAAGTGTTTCCAGGGTTCTGAAGAGTATGTAAGCAGCACATGGTATTCCGTTTTCCAAAACACTAGCGTACCCAGTCTGATACTCCGCTGTTCTCTTATACTCTCCGAAAACACTCAAAGTACCAGCGGCATTCCCCGATGTTTACGACTTGTTCCCGTCTATAGCATCGAAGCATTGTTGCAACTGGCGCGACGCGCCATGGCGAAGTCTGAACGCAGCCTCAGTGTGCGCGCAAATCGTGCAAATCGCAAATCCGCCGGGTTGCCTGATCAGCATCGATACTTTTCTTGGCGCTAATCATTTGAAAATGGTGAATCGCAAATTTTTCCATTCTCCTCAATTGCAATGTATGAATATGGTCCCCTACTTATATGCTTATGCGCAGGCAGTGTTCAGCCCTATTTTGTGGCTGCATCAATACGATTTACATTGAAGATGTTGTCTGCAGTTAGTCGAAGAATGTCGCAAGTGGCTGCTCTGGCGCAACGCTTGGTATGGATTGATTGTGAAATGACAGGACTGGACCTACGAAAAACAGACGTTAGTGGAAATTGCGACGATAGTAACCGATCAGGATCTTAATGTGGGTTCTATTACCATTATGCTCACAGAGAATGGGTTCAACTTCCCAATGGAACGTTGAATGGAGACCTAGGTACATCAATGGAGCCTCGGACTCGAATGCTACGGGGTCTTCCAAACGAGTTCTGGGAGGAATGTACAGTTGAGTTCGCATCGGACGGTGGGGCGGTCCTTCGTCCACGTTGGGAAGCCTTGCGACGCCGCCCCGATTGGTATTGGCTAATAGGCCAATCAGGCTGCGTTCATACCGTGCGACGTAGTCGTCAACGTCGACGTAACCGACGTTTTCGACGACTAGTTCGCGAAGATTATATACGTATCGATCCGACGTAACGGACGAAACCGACGAAAGCTGCGTAACCGACGACTACTTCACGAAGATTAGATACCTATCGATCCGACGAAACCGACGTAAGCGACGTAACCGACGTTTTCGACGTCAGTCGATACGTATCTAATCTTCTGTCGTCGGTTACGTCGATTACGTCGACAGGTGGATCGATACGTATCTAGTCTCTAGTCGTCGAAAACGTCGGTTACGCAGCTTTCGTCGGTTTCGTCCGTTACGTCGGATCGATACGTATATAATCTTCGCGAACTAGTCGTCGAAAACGTCGGTTACGTCGCTTTCGTCGGTTACGTCGACGTTGACGACGCCGTCGCACGGTATGAAAGCAGCAGCAGCAAGTGAACCGATTTTTATTGTTTTCAGCTAAAAGCTGAAATCATTATTCGTGCAGTTCAAGAAGAAAAGGTGAGTATGTTTTAATGAAGCTAGATTTTCATTCTGCATGAATTTAGTCAGTAGCATCGCAGTTAAACGAAGACATTCAGAAAAAAATGCGAAAAGAAAGAAACAAGTTTTCTAAGGGAGTTTCATGCTGAATTCATGCAGAATGTAATCTAATTTCGGTAAACATACTCACCTCTGAAAATTGAAGCTGAAACTAGAATAATTCAGCTTTTACAAGCTGAATATTGCAGAAAAACAACAAAAATTACCGCAGAAATCAGCTGATTGGTAGCGTTAGCAATTATCGATCGGCGAGAGTCCAGACGGAAGAGTGAGTAGGTAGTGCGGCGGCGTGTGTTCAAATGCAGAGTCAGTGTTATAGAGCGCAGAGACAGTGATGGTGATGGCCCGAGGCCTCCGCCTTTCCACCGACACGCAACCGTCGGACCGCTCGCCAGCATGGTCGTAGGACCGCCAAACCGTCACGTGAGCACTCTGCTGTATGTTGCAAATATAGTGTTGGATGTAAGAAGGGGTGGCGATGCTTGTCATTATCACCGTGGACTGGTGATATGGGTCTCGCTTCAAAGTCAGGAGCTTTCGAGTTTGCTCCCCGTTGGCGCGGTTTCTGCTTCATCTCCTATAGGATATTTCGCTCCGATTTTTGGAATTCCTCCAACTAGCGACCCAGCACTTCGAGTAGGCCATGCATTTGACGTAAGTATAAAATTAAGTATAAAATTGCTCACTATCTCACCCTTGCGACGCTCACTGCCTACCAACAATTCGAAGTTTGTACCAGTGTCTCAACCTGGCCAGGCACTTGCCCCTGGGTAATTCGAGCACATCGAACCTGAGTATCACGACCGTTTTACACAAACTTGATTGGTTCTCTGCCTAAAGGTGCTGACGACAACAACGAGAAAACTCGGTGATTCATGATGGCTTGACGTCGGCACCTATCCAGCATGACGCAGACTAAAAGCGTCTTCTAGTCAGACTGATGTGATGTTCGTGTTTAGAGGTTGAAAGTCTGACCCTAGATTGTGGGACAGGTAGTGAGTATCGCAAGGTTCAAATAGAGTCGCGGTAACTACTCTTGGGGAGAAGCTTCACCGTCTATGGAAGTGAACTCGACTAGCGACTGATCTCTTTACTATTAACCAGCAAAGTCGCCCAAACTCTGCAGTGCTAGTACCAAAGCTAGTTTCAGACTACAACTCGGACTGATCGACAGCGGCTAGAGTCGGCCTTCATGACTGCTCAATGAGGCGGGGGCGGAGGTGACGTGAGCATTTCTCGCGACGGTCTACAGACAACTTGAACTCAATTCTTTTGAGCGCATTTTCATAGTTTCTTGTCATAGCTTCTTGCACGTTTCGATGCTTTGGCAAACGCTGTCCCCTACTTATCGGTTTCTTGGTTTTGCAACAGGACCATGCACAAAATTTTAACATGTCATGTAACCCCCTCGCCACTAGTTGATCCTCTTCCGGCTATGTCCGTGCGTGTGGGTGTGTGTACGTCTGTCTGTTTGTCACGAAATTCATAGCAAACCTGGTGGCTAAAGAAGGAACGAATCGGGTCATGGTAAAGCTTGGGACAATACGTGAATAGCACCCTGTGACCCATGGTAAGCCCCGCCCACATTGGGCGGGGCGTGCCTCCAAACACGAAGTACCAGTTCAGAAAAATCCTGGTATGACCCTAGAGCACTACAGATGGCGCAAAAAAAGTGAATTATGGTCCCCAAGTGATCACATGTTGAGATGGGCACTCCCGTTGTGGGCGGAGCGTGCGGGAGGCAAATTTCAAAAAATCGCAAAACGGTTCCAGAACCTTCCAGGCACCGGGAATAAGTAATTTAAGATAACCGAGGGGTCACCGGTCATAAGTGTGTACACCCGTTGTGAGTGGAGTGCGGCGAGTTGGGTGGAGCCGCGTCAAAAAAGATCCTCCCTAAAACACATCCAAAGCATTCCAGAGGCCGGGAAGAAGCTGATTAATGCCAGCGATGGGTCACCGGAACGTGCGGACGTGCTGCGAGGTGGGCGGAGCCAATTTTGAGGATTACTAAAACGGTTCCAAAATGCTTCAGACACCGGGAAGAAGTCTTAAAGACACATGGTACGCTCAAACACATTGAGGGTGTATGAGACTATCAGCCCCCCAGCTGTCGATGTGTCGTGGTCCCCCCGCCCAAACATGCCCAGGAATGGAGATACAGGACCGTGAAACACGCTAATTCCTCCATGCTCCGCCTTACACCTTTTGCGGCGCAGATTCCCGTCCTTCATAACATCCGTTGCAAGCGCGCGTGTCGCGTGCGGCTCCTTGGCACTTTGCCAAGTCCTTTAATTACGAGTAAAACGCAATTTCCTGATGCGGATAACATTGGAGGTGCTACAAAATAAGAACAGAAGATGATGACAAGGGCCAGAACTCAAGAGCAACTCGGCTGCATCTGCAGAATCCATCAGAGGCCGCGCATTCCCAGAAAACATGAGAATAAAAACAATCCAAGCGTCCCACTCGTTTATTCTAAGTATTTCTATGGCTTTGGCGCCGGATTCGCGCCGGATCGTAGAAATTTACAGGCGATTTCAACTAATTTGCCTTCCTTGATTTTTTTCTTCATTTTTGTTATTATTTACATTTACATCGTTGTGCTTCATTTCTGTAGCGTGTGTCCTCTCATTTCTTGTACCATTGGATTTTGAAGTATGTAGACACCTAACTTTTACTCTGGCATCAGGAATTTGCGTCTTTGCTTGTATCAAAACTAAACGGAGTATCCGTTTTATTTTCATGTTTCGTGGAAATACGCAGCCTCCGAGGGATGTTGCAGAAGTGGCACAGTTGCTTCTAAGTTCTGACCCTCGTCATCATCTTCTGTTCTTATTTTGCACCTTCAACGTTATCCGCATCAGGAAATTGCGTTTTACTCGTATTTGAAAGCGCAATTAAAGGACTTGGCAAAGTGCCAAGGAGCCGCACGCGACACGCGCGCTTGCAACGGATGTTATGAAGGACGGGAATCTGCGCCGCAAAAAGGTGTAAGGCGGAGCATGGAGGAATTAGCGTGTTTCACGGTCCTGTATCTCCATTCCTGGGCATGTTTGGGCGGGGGACCACGACACATCGACAGCTGGGGGGCTGATAGTCTCATACACCCTCAATGTGTGTGAGCGTACTATGTGTCTTTAAGGTCATCGAGGGGTCACCGGTTTCACAAGTGTGAGGCATACCCGTTGTGGACAGAGCGTGCGGCGAGGCGGCCGGAACCAGTCTTAAAAATCATCAAAGCAGTTCTAGAGCGCTCGAGACACTTCAGACCTCCTCTGTGATACGGCCCGGCCTTGCGGGCGTGGCTCCATCGCCCCTACGTGCTTTCGTATGATGAAATGCCAGACTAACACCCGGCTTTTCTCTCATCTTTCCACTCAGCCAACGCTTATTACCACCGTTCCATGCACTGTAATAGTGTTGAAAATAGCAGGTATGATGCTATTGGTCAAAGAATGTTGACCATCTGTTCAGATAAAAGAAAAGCCGGATACTAGGTGGGTATTGAAATGTGTGGAAGAAGGTAAGCGCGGCGGAGCCGCGCCTGCTTGGCGAAGCTGTGCCGTATCTCATGGTCAGAAGGAGGCGGGCCGCTTCAGCCGGCAAGCGGACTGGTAGAACAGCAACTCCATAGCCTTCAATTACAGTGACCAAATCTACATTTGACCTGCCAAGTCAGATACTTGTCCTACACGCACTGCTGCATCGTTAACTTGAGGGATTTCAAAAACTGGGGTGAGAGCTCCTGCTCGAGACAAAGCAAAAATTTTCGCGCCAACGGGGAGCACACCTGCGAACCCCTGGTTTTGAAGCGAGACCGTCACTATCAGGCCACGTAGATTATGTACGATAACGAGTGTTGTTCCATTTGACGGAGTGCACAGTTAGAATCAGCTAGGAGCCCAGCATTGGTCAGCAGGATGGAGTTGGTTCTACTTCCACGACAGCGCTGGTTGCACAACCAGCGGTAGCACCGACATCCTCGACCGGTCAGCTCTGCTCCCTTGCCAACACTACATTTACAACATTCGCTGACCTTCCACAACTCGTTTAGGGAATTCCTATCGCCTTTTAATCTACACACTCGGAAACAGCATTCGGGGCTCCACCTATGTACCTAAGTCTCCTTTCAAAATTCCATGTGAATTTGAAGCCGCTCCCTTGTCACTGAAATTTATTCGGGAACGTTCGGTTTTAGGTGGTAGCTGAAGGACCGGATATCGTAATACATCAACCTGAATCTGTCCTTCGAAATATGGAGGAGTGGCCAAGAGAAACCTTTACACAAAATGGTCTTCTCAAGAAAATACGCGAAAGTACTATAAGCTTGCGCGAAGCAGAAGATATGGTGAGACACTGAGAAGTTTTCTCTTTATTGTATCACGATTCCAAACTCAGAAAGAGCGTGAATAGTTATTGCGGTTTTTGGTGCCCCAGTTTCTATATTATTTTTGTACCTTTTTGCGAAGTTATTCTCACGCTCTGTAAAATTTTGAAAAGCAGTTCTGTATCCAGTAGCTCAAGGATTTCATTTTGAGATAGCTTTTCCATTTTTCTGTTCGACGAAACTAACATGGACAAATGACAGGTTTGCACAACCGTTCTATTTCAGTTTTATTCAGCAGCAATGCTACGAAAACTACTACTAGCTACGCTAGCTATAAGCTACGGTATATTAACGAACTTCGGCTTTGGAGCGGCGACTGAAGGTACTGCGCAGTGGTGGTTCGAGTAAATTGTAACGACAACGAGAGCCTCCAAGATTACGGACGTGGTGGGTGCTCATCACCCTCGGGACTGAATGTTTCAAGCAGGACGGTTACTACCCACTGTTGGTACCCACATGCAAAAGATCGGAGAGTCGTGGAAGCCTCATAAGTGGGAGCCGCAGAATTCAATATGGGTCAGAAGAATCCTTGTTCCAAGTGCCCTGCTTTTTACGCCACATAATTGACCCAGCTCAGGGCAGAATCCAGTGTGTAATGAGAAGTAGATTATGCACAGCGACGTACAACCTATATTGAAGAAAACGAGGGAGGTTCCATAACTTCCGTATCAGCCATATTCCCCAGACTCGGCCTCCACCGACTACCACTAGGCATCTTGACTGGAAGAAGTGCTTTAAAAGCCGACATGTTGCTTCGGCGATGTGCAACGAGTGTCTAGATTTTTCAGAAGGGCGGAGCCATTCTGCCTTTTTAGATTGAATGCAGCCGTGATTGTAGAGGTTTTCAACCCCTTCTGTAGTCAGGCCCGAGAGGCGAATATCTTTCCTTGCAGCTACTGCTTGGGATTGACGATGGTGATTTTTTCCTCACCCAGTAATGATCTGAGCTGACCTTTGCTATATGAATTAGCAAACATCCTGAGGAGATGTTCTTCATGCTCAGCTGCTACAGATATGGCCAATGTCGCTGAAAGTCACATCGTCGGGAAAACGCCGCGAGATCTCCGAACTTGTCTCTGTTGGAAGCATTTGTCTCTGATACAGAGCTCAGTATTGTTACGTAAAGAAGTCAGTCACGGAAACGGTCGAGTTGTTTTGAACTCAATGACGATAGCCGCCTCACTGTGCTCAAAAATTTGGTAAAATCACAACATCTCCCCCGACTGTCTCACTGACAGTGTCTTGAATCTAGCTCGAGTAATGCTCTTTGCATTCTACGTAGGTGAACATCGCAGATCAAGGCTATGATATCTCATGTTTCACGTGATCCAGTAGGCGATTGTAGAGGCTGTACTACATTCAAGAAGTGAAAATAGCAAGAAGTGTGATGCATGCTGAAAGGTCAGGCCTATGAGTCTCCCGTAGGCCCATAGCAGCTACTGGTCGCTATCAGCTGCTATCTATTTACTTGCCCCTCTACTAGCTCAACCCATTCCGAATGGTGAGAGTGAGCTGAGAGAGAAAAGAGCTGATATCGCTATAATAACAACGAGTGGAAACTGTACTCATTAGTATGCACATAGAATGGGAATCGGCGCGACATGAGAATCCAACTCTCATGGATCTTATCTAACAGATTATTTCTCAGCACCGGCTTTTTCCTAACCTTAAGTCATAACCATTGTTGAGTTTTTCATCGATTCACGTGACTGACGAATTTTAGGTCGTAGCACTCCTGAGCAACGGAACATTCTTACGTCAAAATTATCAAAGAATACTTCGGCGCGATTGACATCAACTTCGTATTGTGCCATGCATCTGAACCTCGTTAGAAAGGTGTTACTTCTAGACAAGCTTTTCGCCTTATTTTGCTCCGGTCGCGGACCAGGATGGTGGCACAACAAGGTGCCGATTCCAAACACCGTGTTTGCAACCCTGGGCCCACCCAATAAAGATTAACTGCGGAATCCGCAGCCGCTAAGGCTCAGCGATGCCAAGATGATCTTACTATCTTTCAATTGGCAACGAACTACAAGGGTTGTATTGAGTGGCTCGCAACTGCTTGGGCAAAGGACCGGGTATGCGAATACAATCCAGCAGCCGTATCTAAATATAGTCGGTTTCGCCTTTCCTGTCAGCCCGCGTACTCGTCGAATATCATACGAAGCGGTGGCTTTCTCTCAGGTCCTTGGAAGTTTCGCTCCGCTTTTTTTGTTATTTCTCCGAGAAGCTTCGTATTTCGACCAGTAACAGAATATCGTGCCTCAAAATTTATTTCGTTTTTTCAAAACTTCGAATTAAGCAAGTCGTGGTAAGCTGAGCTCTTAGCCACAAAATGATCATTTACTACCCAGTCGGCATGTATTGATATAACTTTTCATCAACTTTCGTGCAATTATTCATAAATGAATTTTGGCTTAATGCGGTTTCTATATATTGCTACCACCCTGTTCGATTAATTTCGCAGGTGGTTGGAGTTTGGTACTGAAAAAGGAAGTACGGCTGACCGGGGAAATCGTCCGCTTTTGGCAGAGAAAATCACGTGTTCATCGTTCAAACTGGACAGAAGGCTAACATTTTTACGTATTCGCTAGGGCCCGCTTTTTCGACCGGAGCGTTGCTCACATACTCTTACTCAGGTTCATCTCCAAATATATGTCCCGTCTCGATGAACATTTGCACTACCGTATTGTCGACGTTTCTACTGTCAAAGAGGTGAACTAGAACCGTGATCCACATATTTCTTATTTGCATCGGTTCATTTGCAGCTAGCTATTCCGCAGATGGTTCTCGCTGAACTGAGTACGCCAAAAAGCCAACCGTTGAAGAAAGGTACTCACAGAGCTTTAGACGATATCCGTGAGAGCATTGAAGAACTGCGCTACTATCGCTCTGCAATTTTTCGACAGTGATCCACATACTCTTATACCTTCTTCAGCATCTGGTTTCTTGAAAGATTTCGCTGTTCAAGGGCGCGATTTGCTTTGTTATACGAGACATTAAACATGCAGGGTGTCAAGAGAATGTTTGTTCGTTTGCATGTTGTGTATTTTGTAACTCTGAGTGCGTGAATGTGGTTGCTTGTTGAAAGAGCTGCAGCTTGAATGTAAAAAATTGAACCAAAATAGGTTGAAAGACTAAAACTAAAATAGAATGACTGACTAGAAGGTTGAAAGCACATTTCGTGACTGACTAGAAGGTTGAAAGCACATTTCGCGATGGAAAGGCTCGTGCGTTGGGGTCCTAAAGAAGGAACGGGCAATTCTTTGAAAGGTCCTGGATTGGACGAGTGTTCTTAGAAGCGAGACGCAGTTCCCATGAGAAACTAGTACAAAGGATAATGAGCTGTTGGACGGATTCCGCAAGTCCTGGACGAAAATGTATCTCTGAGCCCGCGATTACACTTCGCGACTAGCCACGACGTCGCACCGTTAATCGTTGGACCGCTGCAGCCACTCGTGCGATAGCGGTGTTTGGTGAACATTCTGATCATGAATGCAGCATTCATTGTTGTTGCCGGCACTAATGTAGGGCACTCTGATCACCTGCTTAGGTTGAGCCTACTGCACTCCTTCTTCCGGCTCTGCCTGAACAGAGCGCTTAAACGCGAGGTTTTCAAAAATGAGTGCCATATCCGTAATCAGGACATCAGTCAAGTAAGTAAGTATATATCAGTCCTATTACGAAAGCTTTCAACGATTATTGTGGGAATGGTGGTCGCGCTAAATCGGCACTATTGTGGCAGGGCAGGTCATTGAGAGGCCCAGGAAGCGCCGTGATCTTGGCGGGAACTAGGATGTATATAAGAGTTGCGGACTCATGGCATTGCCTGCCTCATTTTCGATCTGTTTTGACCGCCGAGTCGTGGTGCTGCCTCAACCCCCTTGATTTGGACCCACCGAGTAGTCCTTTTATTATTCACTTAACTGTTCATTTGATTAGTCGTTTATTTCATTGTAAAGCATTGGTTAATAAATTGTTGTCGTAAACACTGTCTTTCTTGTGCTCACGAAAACCGTCACTGTCGGTGTTCTACTTGATTGAATTGCCGGGCACACATCCGGTACATGGGGGCCGAACCGATCAAGTCGAATCGATTGTGACTGGCTGCGTGGTGGCACATAGAAGACAGAGGGCGGTCAAAGGAGACCGCATAAGCTGAACTGGAGAGCCAGCTTGGGGGAAGTGTGAGTATGGCTGCGCAGCGTAGCGTAGCGCTTCCAGCGTGCGCTAGCGGCAGTGCCGGGGAGAGGATGCATATCGATCTAGCGTTTCACCAGCGTTTTGCTAGCGTTTGCAGCGGCAGGGGAGTAGAGACTATGGGAGAGCTGGAGGGTACAAAACACATCGATTGCGCGTCTCTCACTCGCCCTCAGTCTCTACAATACACATCGATTGCGCGTCTCTGACGGCCACATAGTCTCTACAATACACATCGATTGCGCGTCTCTGACGGCCACATAGTCTCTACAATACACTTCGATTGCGCGTCTCTTACGCCCCTGCCGCTGCAAACGCTAGCAAAACGCTGGTGAAACGCTGGAGAAACGCTGGCGTACGCTAGCGTTCCCAGCGTCACCAGCGTGACGCTAGCGTGACGCTGGTGACGAGGCGAATCAAGCTAGGATTCGCCGGGAACTTTCGAGAAAGTGATCTCTTGTTGGATAGGGGCC